ACATTACAGTGTGTCTTCATCCCCCTTATCCATGGGGCTGGCACTGTGCAACTTCTGGATCTTCCCCCAATCAAATGACTATAAAAGGTAAATATTTTTAACTAATTCAGAACATTGAGGCAGCTATGACCGCAGCTAAAGACATTCACAAGAGAGAGCTTCCAGAACAGCTTCAGAAAGTGGCAAGAGGACCAGGGACACAGCTCAGGGGCACAGTGCCTGCCTGGCAAGCATAAGGTCCTGAGTTCGAGTCCCAAAAATAAAAGTGTTAGAAAGTGGCAAGAATGATGGGGTACATGTGTTCAAAGTGAGGGGGGCTTAGTGGTAACGAGTCTTTTACCTTAATACATTTTAAAAGCTAATTGAATTGGAGGAGCAAAAGAGGTTAAGAGTAAAAAGAATTTATTGAGAGAAAGAAAACTTCTGTCTAGGAGGGTCAGAAGGGGGCCCCAAAAGTGGGTTTCCTGCCATCCCTACTTCTCAAGGGTGTTTCACTGAGGAAAGCTACAAGGTGAGGTGGGTTCCAGGTGGGACAGAACTATAATCAATCAATAGGATTACATGTATATTCGCTTAGGTGGTATTGCTCCGGTGGAAAATCTCAAGGTGGGTATGAGGTGGTCCAAGACTATGGTGAACCAGTAAGGTTACAAGTATAGCCCCTTGAGTAGTACTGATTAAGCGGGGATCGAACAAGAAGCAAGTCATACAGCCAGCGCACAAGGGCAGACAAGGACCTTCCTGGAAGGGATGGGTTAAGGTGGTCCTCCACCCCAAGGTCATTGATGCCTATTTAGAATATCAGTCGCAGCTGTTCATCCTTAGGGGAAGGATATGAGGGAGTAGTTCCTTTTGTCTTAAAGTCTGGTCTTCAGCGAATGCGCCTCCAGCCACAGTTGTCTTCTGCACTGACCTCTCGAGGGCCCAGCCCTGTCTGACTGCTATCCTATTTCTACCTAACTTAGCTATCTATAATAGCATAAACATTTAAAAATCTATTTCCTTAGCAATTTTTAAATGTACATTATATTATTTTTAACTGTCCTCACCATGCAGTGCATGGATGCCCAAATCTTATTCTTCCTGAGTGAACGTTTGCACATTTTGGAAGTGCATTTGTAAAGTCACCCAACTCTGGCTTCCTTTGCCTCATCCTGACATCTTTTATTCTATTCTGTTACTGTTTTGATGCCACTTATAGCCCACTGAAGCGGTTCCTTATCTGTTTGTCTCCATGGCAACAGCCCCCAGTGCATTAGCCTGGATGAACCTTATTACAGCAGGGTTTCTCAGTCCCAGTGCAAATGGCCAAATATATTTGGGTCTGGGGAATTCTTGTCCACAGGGACAGGGAACTGTCCATCTACTAGTAGGGTGCTAAGCCTCATCCTAGGACCTCTATCCACTAGATGGCAGTAGTATGCCTGGTGGTGACCGCAAAAGAATATCTTCAGACACTACCAGATGTAACTGCTCCCAGTACCTAGCACACAAGAGGTGTGCATTATGCATCTGTTGCATTAATAAAGGCCAGAACAGTCTCCCCTGGTGAGGACCACTGGTCCACTGCCTTATTCCTCAAAGACTAGGTCTGGAAGCTTTAGGGGATGCTATCTCAACTGTACTGGCCAAAGCAAAACCTAAGCTGCTCCAGCTGTCATCCCCATCATTAAGTCAGGAGAAATACCTTCTCTTACAGCTGCAGCTTCCTCAGAGAGACCCAGGACAAACCAACTGTCCGCTACCCATGAGGTTCCCATAACATTCGGTTTGACTGCATATCTCATGGGAAGTCTTTCTGTCTCCTAAAGGCCGATGAAAGAGCTCCTTGATTTGTCAATGCCGTTCTCTTATCCCACTGAGGCTCAATTGATACATCTGGCATTTCTGAAGTCCCTATCCCCTGTAAAATCATGTCTCTGGGAAGCATGACTCATCCTGCATGATTTTTCGGGGGTGCCCTGGAGATAGAACCATGCATCACCCTCACCTACAGCAAATACTACTGAGCTTCCAACCCCTCCAGCTGGAAGACTGCAGCTGGACAGCTCAGCTCCTCAAAACTGGGGAGCAGCCTGGCTCAATGAGGGGCAAGCACTTTGTAGCATCAGTTAGCTCTCAGGGAACAAGCTTCTGCCTTCTGCTATGCATTGGGCAACTTCCTCCTGGGCTGATGAGCTGGAATTGTGTTCTGTGGCTGCACTTCTGCTTAAGTCTGTTCTGGGGTGCCTGGGACCCCTTACCTCCTAGGTCATTTCCCTTATCATCATACTCAGCTTCATTTTTGCTTTTATATTTTCCTAGTCATCTTTATCATCTTATCAAAACTATTCTCATTATTGTTAGGAAGCCAAGTGTAAATGTTTCTGGAGTTAGGTCCTAGGAAGCCCTTTCTAACTTGAAAAATATCATAAATCAAAAATGCATGCAATGCATCTAACCTACCAAACATCACAGCTTAGCGACACAGTACAGCATGGGTTGTTTATCCTGGTGATGCTATGGCTCACAGGCACTGCCCGGTGTGGCAAGAGAATATGATACCACACATCACTCACCTGGGGAAGCACAAAATTCAGAATTCCAAGTATGATTTCTATTGAAGGAGCATTGCTTAGGCATCGTTAGTTCTGCTGAATAGGTACCCTTGGGATCATTTGTAAGGTTGAAATTCTTACACCATTGTGAATTTCGAAAATGCTTAAGTTAACCATCATAAATTGGGAACCATCTATAGCTGTAATTATTTTCGGAAAGTTCTTGAGACCCTAAACATTATATCTGATCCATTACTGCCTAGATTGTTGAAAGGAAAATCCCATGAGGTTTCCAAGAGTCCCAGAGTTCTGCCATCAAATCTAATTGCACTTTTGCTATTTACAAACAAGACAGGAATGTCAGTTCTCTGGTTAGCAGAGCCATGCAATTTGCCTCCTTGGAACGGAGAACCAAGATGGCGGCAACTGGGACGGGCCGTCAGGGTGGGTGGAGCCAAATAGAGAGTGTTCGCTGCTGGTGACGTCCAGTAGTGGAGGACATGGAATCCAAAAGACAGGTCTAGATTCAGATATATGAGACTGTTTTCTACGGCTATAACACAGTAGCTCAGGCTGGAAATGTATAAATAAAAGAGGTTTATTTAGTTCAGTTTTGGAGCCTGACCAAGATTGTGTGGCCCTATCTGTTAGTCCTATGAGCAAGGCCCCACTTGGCTGTGTTACAACGTGATGAAGAAACAGAAAGGGAACCGGCCAAGAGCAAAACGGGCCAAGTAGGAGCCATGGTCTTGCTTTATAAGAACGCTTTCAGGAGCTACTCAGCCTCCTTTGAGAAGTACACTTGTCCCTTGCAAGGGCAGCTTGCCCCCAGGGCCTAACCCTCTGCCTCTAAGCCACTCGTGGTGCTTGAGCGCCACCCCATGGACTAAGCTTACAGCACTTGCACCCTTGGAGAACACATCCTAACCAGAGCCGCTGATTTTGTCTCTCATCAGCTACATTCCCTGGGAAAGAGACTTTGACACTCTGTCCCTCATTTCTCCTTGGGGAAAATGGGACTGATGTCACTGAAACAAAAGAGAAAACAAATTTGTGAAATTCCACACAACCTTTTGTCCCACTAGAATTATTCTGACTGTGACTAAAAGAAAACCTTGTTTCTGCACTCACAACACTTCTGACATTAAAGGTACGGATTTCTCACAGCAAACAATTCCCAGCCCTCTGCAGACATCAGCTAGGTGTCCTGCACTATTCAGTTCTGACACTCAGCACCTGGAGCCAGGGTGAACCTCACAGGTTAAGGGCCCCGCCCCACAACACTGTCCCATGATATCCACGGCAAGTCCCACTGTACTTCTGATCAGCAGGCTATGAGACGGGGCTCCTGCAATACTCTCTTCATGTTGGATAATTTTGGGGAACATCTCATGGAACTCAGAAACAATTTTCTATTATGAGTGATCCCAAAGGGCATAACTGAGGAATAGCCAAGTGGAAGGGACGTATAGGGCAAGAAGGATGGGAAGGGGTATGGCATTTCCACACCCTCCCTGGGCACGGAACTGTTCGTGTACCCAGGTTTACCCATTAAGCTAGAAGCTCGCCAAATAGTATTGTTTAAGATTTAACAGAGGCTCCCAAATGGGCATAATGAATTAAACCAGTAGCCATAGATAAATGACTCAGTTTCCATCCACTCTTTCCAACTTAGATGAGGTAAGGAGATAGAGTTTACTGTCCCAAAGCCCCAAAGATGTACCAAACTTGAAATCACCTGTGATACCTCAGCAAGCAGTCATCTCATTGGCATACCAAAACATCTTTCCCCCCTGGAAATTCCAAGGGACTAAGAAGCTTTTAGGTCATCAGTCGCTGAGGGGTAAGGCTCAGTGTTATAGAACCAATAACTGCTACTATTATCTGGTCACTTGCAAAATTATAGGAGACTTAAGAGCTCTGTGGTAGAGTAAATACTGATTTATAAAATACTATGGGACTGAAAACAATTTCAAGCACCAGGGATGTGGCTCAGGATTAGAGCTCTTGCCTTACATGTACAAGGCTTTGGGTTAGATCCCCAGGGATAACGCACGTGCGTGCACACACACACACACACACACACACACACACACACACACACACACACTAGTAAGCACCATAGGAAACAAAAACTACAACGGCAAGAGCACCAGGACACATGCAAGATAAATACACTGCACTTACATTCTACTATTACTGAATTACACTTCAGCCATTCCAACAACTATTGACAAGTTGCTTACAAATTAAAGGAAAGCAGAGTGCAACCAAAATTTACTGATAAATCTACATTGCGATCAAGCATCAATGGAGATACACAGGCACACAGTACACTCACGTGTACAGTACACAAAAATGAAAACCTACGGAATAAAAATAGCACAGACATCACTGACTAAGCGCGTAAGAAAGAGGAAAAACGCAACATGAAAGATAACTCGGAAATCTGCAATGTTACAGGGACAGCAACAACTTCGCAAAGCTCTGCGACACAATCTACACAAGAAACCAGTGTAGAACATGTTTGGAAAATGAATTCCCAAACGCAAAGCGCTCCCCAGCCTGCCACCACAACACCAAAACTGAGTCTTCCACAAGAGCAAAACTCACCACTAAACGACAAAACATCAACTCCAATCACCGACTCCATACACACATCAAATAGAAAGGAGCTTCACATCATGACCACGGATGCTACCACGAACACCGAGCACACTGATCAAAGCTTCACAGACAAGACAAATTCAGCAACGCTGGGCTCCTCTGCATTTGCAGTACAAGGACAGCAGACTTCCACTACCACTTCGAAAACACTGACTCCAACATCACAACGGCACCCAACACAGGGGACGCGGGCACTGTCATACTCAGAAGACGAAAAAAAGGGAACTGGAACGGGCAAGGGAACCCTCACAACCCCGGGAAGGTCAGGCCC